CCTTGGTATGAGTAGGAGATAGCATAGAACCTTACGTGGTATTGGTTTTCGTTTATGCCCTTGGTGTGTTTGTTCAGTAACTACATATCGGCTTTCCTCACAGAAATCACATTTTTCCTTGTTCGCATCTTCTTTGTAGTATATCATGCAATTGTTTACACACGCATCTATCTTGATGTAAGGCATTTTTAGACCACGAAGAAGACACTGACACTCATACAAAGATTTTGGCATTTTATGGTCCTCTGGCAGTACATCACCAAACAAATTCAGCAATTTATTAATGCATTCTACAGAGATTGTGTTGAGACTTAATTGCCATCAAGCGTGTTACTGCAGTTAGTTGTGCAACACTAGTGTAGTTATGGAGCGGCTCTTTTGAAGCTGATAGCAAGGCATAGAATGCCTTAGCATCTGCCGTTGGTTCGTCTTCTACACTCTCTGTATGCATTGCATCACCAAGATCAGCTAACATTTGATCTAAACCATCAGCAATATCATAGGCATATTCCAATGTAGGCTCGCTAATAGGTTGTTGTCCATGTTCTGTCCATATAGTATACCCAGGCATAAATCCTCTCTTACACAAATGCATGCTCATGACAGCTCTTCTCCATCTAACTTTGTTGCCACAATCTGAACACGGACAAACTACCCTAATTCTTTCAGAATTACGAACAACACTAAAAACCTGGTCTAGAAAAGCATTTGTATTTCACACCCATTCCAAGGAATGACAACCATTGTCATTCTAGCCTTCATACATCCAACTACGGTCTTCTACTGACATGGCTCACGTTGGGACAGGAAACTGAAACAATAGGTTTATAAATTATTGCCCACGTGATGAAGTGCAAATATGTACTAAAACTACCAGGCAAAGAAGTCTATGCAAAACGCACACTGCTTACTAGTAACAAAGACAGGGAGATACTCCAAGTCCAAACGAACACTAAGAAAAGATCTAGATTACATCAGAGGATTTACAGTAGTCTCTGAACTCAATAGTCAAGTCATTAAAAAAACAATTATAAACAGTTAGACACATGAGAGGACTAAGTATTCACCTATTAGGTTGTAGCACAAAATTATTGCTAAGCTTCTGAATTTCTAATTTTCAAGAAATGAATAGAACCTGAAATCAGTTGCACAAAGGCTAACATTAGAAAGGCCTTCTTTGTTCAGCATTCATGAACAAATCTATGACTAGTGAGTGCACCAAAAATACTTATTTCCTAGCTAAAATTCAGGAGCTTAGCACTTACTAGTCAGTCTATTTGACTTTCTGATTTTCGGAAATGACCAAAGACTAGTTCAGCACCAAACAAATTCAGCAATTGCAATAGTCTCTGTCACTCTCAAGTCAATTAAATAATTTCTAATTCTGTTTTCACTTACGTAGGAATACAAACAACACCAAGAAAAGGCAAATTCACTACTCACCTTGCCCTCCGTTCCTGCAGATGTTGGTTCAGCAAGCGACACACAAACTATCACGGCTTCTTTCTGCAGATGTTGTGCTCCCTTGCACTCCTCTTCAAATGGTTTGATGGTACAATCATGACTAGATTCATGGGTAAAAAATAAAAACCCATCTAGTATTTTTCCCCAGAACAAACAGGAGGGAACATGTGCCTGTAAATTTAGTATGCGCAGAGTCAGGTATTGATTTGATGCAAGTAACAAGAAGTGGCCTAGATGTATGTATGTATGTATGCGCAGAGTCTGTTACTCGACCATTCGTATAGAAATACTAGTGATGCGCAAGCACGTCATTGTTTCGCAAATTTGGTCAAATTTCCAGCGCACAGTTTTTTCCATCACTAAAAAAGCAACTTACTATGTTCACTGATGGGTCGAACTGGAGAGGAAATAGCAAAGTCCAGTGGAAACGAGGAAGCAAATTATTGGTCACTTTCACCAACAGCAACTTGACTGAATCCGAACCAAAATTCCTAGCCAAAAACAAGGAAAGAAATTATTGTGGTTCTGAAATCTAAAGCTTTGGCACACCGGCGGCGGAGCTGGGTACAGTAGATGGATGCACAAGCAGTGGCTAGGGTGAACGGGCGGTAGTACCTGGGGCTGGGGTGCCTGGTCGGCGGCGCGCCTGGGCGACAGCGCCTAGGGCCGACGGTCGGTGGCGTGCGGGCGGCGGTGCCGGGGGTGCGCCTGGAGCCCGCGAGCGGCGGCGCTTGGGGCGCGTGGGAGTAGAAGGCGCTCAGACAGCGGTGCCCCTCCCGTACTCTGGCTGGAGATTTGGTCCACGGAGACGGCGCGGGTGCGAAATGGATAGGGCGGCTGGGGAAAAATGGTGGCCGGGACGGCGGGAGAAGTTGGTGCCATAGAGATTGGGGGTCTAGGGTTAGACTCTGCGGAATTGGTTCCCTAGGATTTCTATTTCATTCGAAGGGAAATACGACACGCAAGTGCTGCAACAGAGCCAACACTGCTGCTCCCCCCGACGAAACCAAAGATCTCCTAGGGAAATATACGTTTCCCTACGGCTTGCAAAGAGAACTCTAGGGAAACAAATCTCTCCCTTGGACTATCGTAAAACGGTAGGGAAACAAATAAACTGTAGGGAAACTCGTTGATTCCAGTAGTGACAGGCCCTGCCCTTGAGTACAAATTAGACAATCGTTTCGGATGAAAATCGTTCCAGGTGTTCATTCTCCGAGGTAACCGAACAGGCCTTAAGGAAACTCGGCTGGGAATCGTTCTCAACCCCAACCGAACGGGCTGAAACCAATGGGATCCTAAAAGCTTGCGCATAACTGGCAAATTACAATCTACTCTGAATTTCTGTTTTCTAACAGTAGACGACATGCCACATGTCACATAGCTCGTGTGCTGGTGTGACATGTGACATGTGACATGTGTGTCCAAATATCTTCTACAAGAATTCTGTACAAACAGTTGAAGCAAAGGTACAGTACAATCTTAGTCACGACACAACACGTTGTGGATTACGGATGGATGGGGATGGGGTTGCAGACATGTTTCCGTTTCCGAGATGATTCCCGTCACGTCAGCCAACCATCGCAGAGGTGTAGGTAGTTGTGATGCCGGCGAAGTAAGTTAGTTGCGTGTGCACAGGTGCGCGAACGCGGCGACGAGCAGAGCAGCCTTGAGCCTGACGCTCCAGGGGATGCCGTAGCTTCCCTTGCCGACGAGCCCCCTCACGAACGGCCAGAAGCAGAGCACCAGCCATCCACAGCACACAAGCTCCCCGGCGCCCGGGCCACCGGCGGCGGGCACCGCACCGGCGACCACCCTCCACGCTCCGACGGCGACGGCGACGATGCTCAGCATCGCGAGCGCCGTCGGCGGGACGAACACCGGCGACGAGTCGAAGGTGAACCGCCCCGGATCGGCGTCGTCCGCGCCATCGCCAGCGTCTCCGTCGGACGAGCTCTGCTGCTCCTTGCGCGTCACCTCGAACACCGTCTCCGACAGGCCCAGCGTCTTGAGGACCACGGTGACGAAGGCGAGCAGCCAGGCGGACGCCGACACGATCCGCTGCATCCTGTGGTTGTTCCACCAGGCGCGCGCCGATAGCCGGCAGTCCTTGTACTCGCCCAGGTTGTACGCGTTGTAGGCTAGGAACAGCACCAGCGGGATGACGAAACCCGGCTCTGACGACTGCGTCACAAGAAGATGAAATTTCAGAAACTCTGCCACTTTGGCAAGAAGGACCGGCCGGTGATGGAAAAAGATTACCTTTGGCAAGAAGGAGCGATTCGCAATGAGGCAGTAAGGTGCTAACAATGCATAGCACAGCTCAAAGGGTGCCCTGACGGGCCACACGTCGATGACTAGGTAGGCGACGCACTGCCGGAAATCGAGGCGCTTGAACGCGGAGAGGAGGACCGGGTTATGGCGGCTGAGGAGTATCTCCAGCAAGCCCGTCGCCCATCTCTTGTACTGGGTGAGGCTGGCCGGCCCGCCGGTGGGCGCGCCACCAAGGAACGCCGGTGGGTCGGGGTTCAGGATCGCCGACCTCCAGCCCGCGGCGTGGATGCGCTGACCCGTCAGGACGTCCTCGGTCATGGACCCGTAGACCCAGCCAACCTGCAAGCACATGCATGAGTTCGTTCAGGTTACCAAAACCTGCAAAATGCTACTAGATGTGAGGGACAATGTTAAAAACATGGAGTATACCTCCTTGCCCCAGCTTGTGCCAGTCTCGTAGCTGCAGGCAGAAACTTGTTTCGCTGCTTCGACACGATTCGTCAGATCTGCCACCACAGTCGTTGGCGATTTGAACATGTCGCCGGAAATGATGCTCCTCGCCGACTCGATCAGTTCATTCGATCCGCCAAACTTGTTCTGTAGCTCCTTGTAAGATGGTGAATCTGCCAGAGTTTGTATTGTACAATACAACCAGTCAAGAGCATATATACACTGAATCAGAATACCTTGCGGAGCAGTCAGTCTTTCGAAAGATGTCACCTTTCGTGCTGGTGGTGGTGGCGGAGTCTGGTGGCACGCCGTACATGACTTTCCTACGGTGAAAGCAACCCGTCCCACAGTAAAATATGCCTTGAAGTCCGGCAACTCCGTATCCAATTTTCTACATAAGCTCATCAGCACAGACGACAAAAGTTGTCGATATATACAAAGCTAACACAGCGTTTCTCTTAGCGATCGAGCTAGTACTCCTATGATAATGATAGTGATCTGTACCTACCTCGAAAATAACCTGCATCTGGTTGCCAAAAGGATCGTCGTTGAGGGCGCCATAGAACTTCTGCGGCGCCTGAACGAAGCCGCTGTGGACGTCGTCGTCGAAGCCCAGGAGGAGGCACATGGCGTGAAGGGCGACCTGCGGGTTGTTGGCAAACATGTCGCAGTCCACGTTTAGCATGATGGGAGAGTTGGTCACCACGCCGGACACCCTCGTCTGCAGTCAGTGCACAGGGAAATGCATGTTCAGGCTCAGGAGGCACCTCTCCACTCATCAGTTGCACTACGGACGGTGAACATGATGTATGTACCAGGACGTTCATGGCGCCGGCCTTGAAGTGGTGGTGCTGTGTGGGGCTCTTCTCCCTCGAGACGTATATGAGGCTGGGGATTCCATCGTCTGCAGCCTGATTGCTCTTGCTCTTGCTGCTGCTGTCCCAGAGCACCTGAACACTCGCGGTCGCGGTTAGCAAGAAAAAAACAAAGCAACGAGATGGGCACGCGTTTCATCATGGCTGCTCAATCCACGAGTTCGTCTCTACCTTGATTATGGTCGGGTGGTTCCTGCGGTCAGCGCCCACGAATTCGGCGAACTCGCCGTCGCCGCGCCGGACTAGAGAGTCCTCTTCGGCGTTCTCGATCCGGCGGACCAACTCCTCGTACTCGTTCTACATGCAAGGACACGATCAGACACTGGCACGTAATAAGTGTGTACGGCGGATGTTACTGACTACATGGAATTTTTTTTACAGCGCACTACGTGAAAAACGGTTCGTAGCAACGGGTTAAATTTTTTTGGGGGCAGCCGGTGATTGAGCCCCTACAGTGGCATGCTCAGGATCCACGAGACCAGCCACCCCTACAAATAAAACAACAAGAGTGGCTGGTGATATGAGCCACCCCTACAAATGGGTAGGATTTGTAGGGGCGGCTCACTCACCTGCCGCCCCCGGTGTTGCTATTTGTAAGGGCGGCTGGTGATTGAGCCGCCCATACAAATGCTCCATGTATAAATACCTAGGATTTATAGGGACGGCTCAATCACCAGCCGCCCCTAAAAATATCCGCTGTATAAATGGCTGTAGCCTCTTTCTTCTTACTCGGGTCACTCACTCCGATCCGTAAAAGAAAGGTGGGGAGACCTTGGGCACCTCCCAAAAATTGCTCTACTAAAGAGGAAAAGTTTTGGTCTCAAATCCTTTGATGGAGAGGTTGTAGAAGATTAGAAAATGCTATTCCACACTTTTTTTTGAAGTTTCAAATGGTTGGTTAGTGAGTAATTAGAGTTTTGTTTTTCCCTCTCTTCTACGGTTCTTGAGCTACTTATAAAGCAAATTAGACCTAAGTTTTGAATGTATTAAGATAAATTAGGTAGGGGAACAAGATCATACCCTTATTTGATCCATGTTTTTTGATTTTAGTGAACAATTAGTTAGTTTTATGGATGTTTCATGTGCATGTAGATCTAGATCTAGGGTTTGATTTTTTTATTAATTTTGTTTTTTAAATTTATGTTTGATGAAATTGGACTAGGATTTGCACGAAAGATATTGGGTAAAATATAATTGTTGCTAATTGTTGTCTTTGAAATTGTTTATTGTAATCAACAAATATGTATTTTAATTATTTATGGATAAATGGGTCATTAATTAATTTTCCTCTACCATGGTGTGTTTGTATGCTTCATGTAATTATATTTGATTTATATTCATATATATCTAAAGTATATACAATTATTCTCAAGTAATTATTAATTTGATTCATTTTTATATATATCTGAATAAGTAGTCCTTTAATGTTTGTTTTGTTGTTGTTGTAAAAGATGGAGTACAACAACTCTTGGATGTATGGTTTGTTATGGTTCAAGGCAGGTTTCCGTGAAGAGGTGGATAAATTTTATTGAAACCGCAAAGAAGCATGCAACGACGTTGACAGAGAATAAGGATACAATTATTTGTCCCTTTAAAGATTGCAAGAACCGTATGGCATGAACAAATGTGACTATCATCAGATCACATTTGATTATGCGAGAATTTGTTGAAGACTACACAGTGTGGATTTATCATGGTGAAACAATTATTGTTAACGACGAGGATGAGGAGGAATACGATGACAAAACCCTAGAATCCCTGTCCCATTATTCAGCAGAGCTTGATGCATGAATGGATTCCGAGTTTGGCAATGAACAAGGTGGTGATGCTGGTGGTTGGGATGGTAACGACGAAGGTGGTGTCAATAATGATGGTGGAGCACGTATCGGGGATGAAGATGATTTGGAGGACATGATTCGAGCCATTGGACTAGAGATTTTACTAAAAAGCCTGAAAGGTCTAGAAAATTTGGAAAGGGTGACAAAAGTATCGAAGGAGACTGTATATAATGTTGAAAAGGGCTGTCCGACACATTGGACATTGCTACGTTTTGTGCTTTTGCTACTCATCCTGAAGGCTAAGTACGGCTGGTCAGACTGTAGTTTCAATGATCTATTGCATCTCCTGTCATGGGTGCTGCCACAACTAAACTCAGTTCCCACCAACACATACCAAGCGAAGAAGGTCATAAGTCCATTGACAATGAGGGTTAAAAAAATCAATGCATGCCCCAACCACTGTATACTTTTTCGTGGCGAAATATTCAAGTCACTGGATAAATATCCCCGATGTGGGGCCAGCTGGTACAAGAACAATGACCTTTACGGTGGGGACGAAGCCTCCATGGGGAGAAAGAGGAATAAGAAGGGTACAAAAAAGGTGATACAAGAATCTCAGCCCCCAGAGAACACTCCATTAGGCAACGATGCAAAGCAGAGAAGAATTCCTGCCTTGGTAATGTGGTACCTACCAGTGATCGACCGCTTGAGACGTATCTTCCTAAATCCTAAAGAAGCCGCACTCATGACGTGGTGGGATGATGAGCGCAAGGTGGATAATGATAAGATTGCACACCCGGCTGATTGTAGTTAGTGGCAAAGATTCGATGAAAAGCACAAAGAATTCAGCGATGACCCAAGGAATGTACGGTTTGGCTTGAGCACCGATGGAATGAATCCCTTCAATGAGAGGATGAGCGACCACAGCACTTGGCCAGTGATGTTGACCATGTACAACATCCCAACGTGGTTGTATCAGAAGAGAAAGTACATTCTCCTCATTATTCTTATTTCTAGCCCTAAACAACCAGGCATTGATATAGACGTGTTCCTCGAGCCTTTGATGCAAGAAATAGAGAGGCTATGGAGGCATGGGGATCCGATGTACGATGCGTTCCGAAAGGAGGACTTCATATGTAGAGCAATAATATTTGTTACTACCAATGATTACCCCACGCTGTTTTCTTTGTCTGGACAGATCAAAGGGAAGACGGGATGCTTGGTTTGTTTGGATGGTATTACATGGGTGTACCTAGATGCATCCAAGAAGATAGTTTATCTAAGGAACCGACGCTTCTTAAAGACAAGTCACAAGTACTGCAACAAATTGTTCTTTAGATTTTATGACAACATCCCGAAGATTGAACCCCCTCCGGAGAGACGTCATAATGGAGAACACGTGTACAGAATGGTGAAAAACATGCGTGTCATCTATAGAAAGAAGAATTGGGATGGGACAAACAGAGATAGAAGCACACCTCCTGTCGAAGGCGTACCTTTTAAGAAATAATCGATCTTCTTTCAGTATCTGCCTTATTGGCTAGACTTGGAGGTCCCCCATACCATTGATGTTATGCACGTGCAGAAGAATGTCTTTGAGAGTCTCATTGCTACCTTGATGGACACAGGCAAGTCAAAGGATGGTCTGAAATCACGGAAAGACATTGTGCAGCTAAACGTGATGCCACAGCTTCACCCGTTACCTGAGGCTAATGGAAAATACACTCTGCCCGCGACGTGCTTCAACCTAACACCAGACGAGAAGAGAGCTATATGCACTTTCCTGAGGGGGGTCAAAGTCCCGACTGAGTTTTCAACGAATGTGAAGAAGCTAGTGTCGATGAAGGACTTGTCAATAACACACTGCAAGGCTCACGATTGTCATGTGATGCTGACAGTGTTTCTACCTATTGTAATCAGGGCTATAAAGCCAGAGTTCTTGAAAATGGCCATCACCCGCATGTGCTACTTCTTTTCAAAGATCTCACAGAAGACGATTGGCAAGCAAGAGCTGAGTGACCTACATGAATTTGTGGTGGAGACACAAAACCAACTAGAGATGTGTTTACCTCCTGCTTTTTTATATAATGCCACATCTCATGATTCACATGGTTCATCGACATCTTGGGCTTTGCCCTTGCTACTTGCATGAAATGTGGTCCCACGAAAGGGTTCATGTTGGTTCTAAGTCGATACGTGCATAATCGAGCATATCCAGAGGGCTCCATGATAGAGGGTTACAAAGATCTTGAAGAAGTCATCGAGTCTTGTCAAGAGTACCTAAAAGTACGAGAAGGGATTGGTAAACCCGATTCTCGTCACAAGGGTAGGCTGGCTGGGAAGGGCACCAGTGGTAGAAAAGTGTTCATCGACCATGATTACAAAGAGGTGAGTCGGGCGCATTACAGTGTTGAAAGGTCCTAATATGGCTAGAGGGGGGGGGGTGAATAGCCTATTTAAAAACTACAAATCAACTAGAGCAATTTGATTAGTAAGACAAATAGCGAAATGCAAACTTGCTCTAGCTCTACAAGGGTTGCAAGCCACCTATCCAACAATTCTAGTTGTAATGATCTATTTGCACACAATCTACTTGACCACTACTCACTAAGAGCTCTCACAAAAGCTACACTAAAGAGCTCCACTAGATATGTTTAAAGCACAAGGCAAGCTCTCAATTCTAATTACACTAAAGAGCTTGCTATATCTAGTTTGCGGAAATGTAAATGAGTAAGTGAGACGATTATACCGCCGGGTCGTGGAGTGAACCAATTACACGATGAATATATAGCCAATCACCGGGAGAATGCAATTTGACAAGAGACAACCGATTTTTCTCCCGAGGTTCACGTGCTTGCCAACACGCTAGTCCCCGTTGTGTTGACCAACACTTGGTGGTTCGGCGGCTAAGAGGTGTTTCACAAACCTCGTCCACACGATAGGACACCGCAAGAACCGACTCACAAGTGAGGCAACTCAATGACACGAGCAATTTACTAGAGTTACCTTTTCGGCACTCCGCCGGGAAGGTACAACTCCCCTCACAATCACCGGCGGCGCCACGAACAATCACCAACTCGTGCCGATCCTTCACCGCTGCTCCAACCGTCTAGGTGGTGGCAACCACCAAGAGAAACAAGCGAAATCCAGCAATGAGAACACGAATACCAAGTGCCACTAGATGCAATCACTCAAGCAATGCACTTGGATTCTCTCCCAATCTCACAATGATGATGGATCAATGATGGAGATGAGTGGGAGGGCTTTGGCTAAGCTCACAAGGTTGCTATGTCAATGAAAATGTGCAAGAGAGAACCCTTGAGCCGGCCATGGGGCTATAAATAGAGCCCCCATCAAATAGAGCCGTTGTACCCCTTCACTGGGCAAAACACGCCTCGACCGGGCGCCTCGGTCATACCGACCGGACGCTGGCCCTCAGCGTCCGGTCGCCCGATGGACGCCACGCGTCACCAGCTTCAAACGCTGTTCGTCAGATTTCAACGGCTACGAAGCTGATCG